ATGCTTATATCTTATGAAGAAAAAGGGGTAATCCACTCTTAATCAAGATTAGACAAAGCTCTGATATTGTAGGTGTACTCTTGTCTATCTGTCAAGGACAAGAACTCGATGAAAAAATAATCCAGACAAGTGAGCCTTCACTCAAAGAAAGGTAAAAAAATATAAATAAATAAGTATATATGTATATTGAAAGAGAAACTAGAATGGCTATTGCCAAAAGACAAGAAAACTAAAGACCCTTGAAACTAGACTAGAAGCAAGAAAAGAGTTGACAAGAGTGAAGAAGCCTTCATTCTTGTCTCTATATATATTATCTAACTAGGAGCTATGTGGCAACATTCTATAGGACCTCTAATATGTGTTGACTTTGTAGGACACATGCCTTGACTTACAAGGCAAGTTTTTCTACGTGTGGGCTACATAGTTAGCTTGATCTTCAAGCTAACAACATATGTGGCACATGGCCAACTTGTTGACCACGTATCTAATCCAAGAAGTCAATTAAAGACACCTATGAAGTCAAAGCAACGTCTATGAAGCTTTTAGGAAGCTTTCATATTAAATATTATAGAATTAACTTATTATTACCTACTTTTACTTACTTCTACCTATTTGTATATGTAATTACTAGATTACATGATTATGTTCGTGACAACACATCATGTATACAAATAAACAATTATATATATATATATATATATATATATATATATATATATATTTAAAGCATTCTTAATAATATAAAAAAAACATTATAATAGTGGTCATATAAATATCAATGATGGGATTGATTCTTTTGATTGATTGTACACATAGCAATTATCTTTCAAATGTTTTGGATGAAATAAACTGAAAAAACTCAAATCAACTACTTATTTTATTAAATAAAACTCTAAAACGAAATATTGACATGGTTGATTAAGAAAAGCTTTCAAACTAGCATCTTCTAAATTAACAATAACTTAGACTCTTTCTTGCTTTCTTCCTTTTTAATATTTTAATACATGAGCTGGTTTACAATATAACCTATTAGCAAATTAAACACAATTATGTTTTGTACCATTTTTAGCAAAATGCCAAAGTCCCAAAGTATAATGTTGTATGCATTGGTTAGCTCTTGTTATTGACTCTCTATATATTGCACTTTAAATCAGCCAAAAATACTTTTTGACCGATTCTCATGTTGTAATTCCAATTGTGTATAACTTTGTATATTGTGAGTCCTATCATTCTGACCTTTATGTTGGTATTCTTTGAAATTTCTTAGATTCCATCAATCAATTCCTTTCATCAATATTCATTTATTTATTTTTTCCATCTATACTATTATTTCTACAAATTCCTAATTGTTATGCGTTTGAGTGTACAATCTTTGTCACTTAGCTCTCTATTTACAAAGTTAGTATTTGTACAAATCATAAGAGCAGTATCGTTTCTTGAGTAAAAACTATGTTGCAAGACTGTTTATAGCTTCCCTAATACAAAATTGCAACAAGTTCACATTATCATTAATTTTGCAATGTGAAAATATATGATGCATTAGTTGAACTACTTCCTATAATCTTACAGTTTCTTTCACCTAATTAGTGTCGCATACATTGAAGTAACCATGTTGTTATTTTGCTAGGTTGCTTTAACTTAAAAAGTTACTAAGTAATAAATTATATATGTATATTATTACCTTCTACTACACAATTAATACCTTTCAAATACACTTCCATGAAAAAATTTGTTGCCTGTAGAGGTTTAAGTTCTGTGAAAGAATCCCTGACAAGAAAAAAAAAATTAAAAAACACACACACACACAAACTCACATATATATATATATATATATATATATATATGCATAAACATCTTTGAGATAATATCAACCATCAAAAATTAACATTAAAAAATTATGGTTGAAAAGATTGAGGATTGAAAGGATTCACAAACATTTGTGAGACAGTTGCTTAATATACAAGATTTGGGTATTCTGTAAATTATTTTTTAAAATTATATTTCAAATACATATAAACTTGCTTGCACATTTTTTATATTGGAATACAAAAGTAAATAGATAATATGGTTGCTGCTCAAGTTAAGTAAAAATACTTGAATTTGGGTACGATTTCATGAATTTTTTGGAATCAAAAACTTAAAATTGAAATCATATTTTCAATACATAGTACATGTGTTGCCTAACAGTTTTTTTAAAAAAGAAAATACAATCATTAAAAGTAACAATTCTTTTGAAGATTGCATTTAAACAAGCTACAAATTGAATGTACATGGAAGATTCTATTTATTTATTTATCTTACTAAACACAATTGCATGCAAAACTACTGTAAGTATTAACAGAATCACAAAATTGTAATTGTAACTAACAAGACCAATTTGATTTTTTTTGGTAATATATTAGTAATTCTTCTTTTTTACTTAAATCATCAAATGATATCATCGATTCAATCATTTTGAGATAGCTAATATATATATTTGAAGTATATATTCAACTCTGAAGTATATATTAACTCTTGAATTCACGTAGTTGAATTGAAATATACAGTGACAAATAAAACCGAGTACAAAATCTAAAGTGCCAACTTTCAAGAGCAATTACAGAAATTTCAATAATTGCTTTATAAATATGAAAGTTACATGGAATAATACACACAGTCTTGTACACATGTACAAAGTTGCACATCAAATTGATAACTAAACATCCTTCTACAAAGTCAAATCAATAACTATGTCTTGTACTCAGTATTGTTCAAAGAAAATCTTCAAACTTCAATATTTAGTCCAATAACCTTTTGCTTCCAAAACAGCTGAAATCCTTCTTAGCATACTTTTGTATAGTTTCTCACAATCTTTCGCATCAAAACTAGGATAAATACTACAAACATTCTCCCATAATTCTTGAACACCTCTTGGCCTTTGAGTGACTTGGCTTAAACGCTGTTTGAGAAGGGCCCAAAAATGTTCCATTGGATTCATATCTGGAGATTGAGCTGGCCATCAAAGGAGCTGAAATGGCTGTGAAGAGAGCCAAAACTGAACACTTTTTGCCGTATGTTTGGGATCATTATCATGTTGAAAAACCACCTTAGTAGGATCTAAGTTGTAATTCTGTGTGGTACTTTGCAAGTAGGTTTCTAAAATTTTTTTGTACAAGTGTTGCTCCATTCTACCTTCAATTTGATACCAAGCACCCGGCCCAAAAGCAATCATACAACTCCAAATCATAATTGAACCACCACCATGTTTGACAGTTTGACTAACATGTTTAGGTCCAGGTCGTTCTCCTTCTCTCAACCAACACCAAGACCTACCATATGAGTTGATTAGGTTAATCTTTGTCTCATCACTGAAAATAACCCATCTCCAATCATCAACGGTCCAATTTTTGTATTTATGAGCAAAACTCAACCTTGCAAGAACATGTCTTTTGGCAAGTAGAGGCTTCTTTTGTTGCACACAAGCACCCAAACCAGCTTCTCTCAAACCACGCCTCAAGGTGATGTCTGAGAAGTGTTTACCTGTTTTTTCTTGAAGTTATTTTGTAGCTGCACTTGTCGTTTTGAGACAACCAGCAGTGACAAGGTGTATACCAAGTCGCTTCTCTTGCTCTCCTAAAACCTTTGGACGTCCTCTTCTTTGCTTTTCTATTTCACCATTAATCTCCCTCCTCAGATGAGCTTCTGAAGACTGACTCATTCCAAAACTGAGTACACACGTCTATGTGCTTCTACAACACTTTTCTCATAAACCCTACCTCAAATGATAATGAGATTTTTCATCCATGTAGAGGACTGGATGAATACACACAATAAAAAAGTAATTCTATCAATTGACTTATGTATCAGTTGGAAGGATCAATGAACTATGAGTGTTCAGATTTTGTACTCGGTTTTGTTTGTCACTGTATATGCAGAGAAAATATTGTAATTCAAATTATATATATATTACAAAAATTAATAGCCTTAAAGTAAAGTTTTGTTTGAAAGAGACACAATCAAACATGTACCTTCCTTTTGGGGGGAGAGAGTTCCTCAGGGTCACACGAAGTCAAAGCTTTCCACCACAACCAAAGTAACGAAAGGCATCTATTTACGGATGGATGAAAGCATGAATTGGATGATAAAGCACGATGCCGACTGGCTTGCCACCATTCACTCCCAACACAGAGCCCACCAGCTGCCACGTAGGATAAGAATATCACCAAATTAAGGATTACCCCGTTCCCACTGCAGATGAAACCAGGGAATGGGTCAAAGAACAAGGGATCCTGCAGACTATTCATGTCGTAAAATTATCATGGAACAAGTTGCGGAGGTCCACCAGCAGGATCGTGCCATGTCACGAAGGAGACCGCCACATCAGATTGGAAAGGGCGGGAGGCAAGGGCGGCGGTGTGAACGCGTGATGGAGGATCCCGCCACGAAGGAGACGGCACTGGGAGAAGAAGCGAAGGCACTCGGTAAGCGAAGCACGGTTTGCTCAATTAGCTTGCTTGGTTTGGTTTGCTTTGTTGTTGGTCTCTGTGACCGATTCTTAAGACGACGTTGAAGGCTGAGTCACGTCAGTCAGACGCGGGTACGTTGGTTTTCGAAGTGGTGTGAGGTTGTGTGTAATCAGTGAGTCCTGGTGTGTGAGGATCGGAAGAAATAGGAATCGGCAATTGGGATTGAGGGTTTGCAATTTGATTCAGGGGTGGGCGTTGATGGTTTACAGGATTGTGAGGGAGAAACGAAGAGGAGTTGTGCGTGAAAGAGGAGGAGTAGGAAGAAGAAGAGGAAGAGTTGGGGGAAGGGAAGTATTGGGTTGGGTTGGTTTGGAGGAGGGGAAGAGGAATTGAGGGTGTTGTGCCAGTGGTGACACGATGTCGGCAACGTCGGTTGTTGAGAAGGCCACCAGTGATATGCTCTTAGGACCCGACTGGGCTCTTAATCTGGACCTTTGCGATGCTATCAACAACGAACCTTCGTAAGTTGGCGGACGCATGACTTGGTGTCGATTAGCTCTGGTCTTGGTGGGGGCGTTAACTTGAATTTCGAGTTTGCGCGCTGCGGGAATCTTGGGTGGTTTCGATTTGGCTTTGTTACCCTGCGAATTGTGGAGTGTTAGACACGTTGTTTGTGATGCTTGAGACAGTGGAGTTCCGTGACCGTATTGTTTCGTGGTTTGCCGGCATGGGCATAGGCTCGCTGATGGTTTTTGTTTTTGATTTCTGCTTTTCGGTGTAAGAGCTTGGTGCATTAATTCTTCGTGTGGGGCACCAGAGCTGTCACTGAGTCACTTGGTGGGCTTTTCTTGGTCCATCAAGATATCTGAAATGAGGATTGGTGGGTCCAGGTTTTTATCGAGCTCGTACTTTAGTTGCCGGTATTTTTAGTAACAGGGCAAAGCATGTGTTTTAACACAGGGCGCTGTGAGCTGCTAAGCAGCACCAGCCGAGTTTCTATAATTTGTTTTTTCCGTGGAATTGAAGCGTGATCTTTTGCCCATCGACTGGACCGCGAATACAGAATTTTAATAAAATTGCTGATTGTGAATTTGTTAGATCTTTGTATGTTTCGATGATAGGTTGTCGCTGGCGTCACTCCTGGCCTGTGGTCGGGTCTGTGATCTTTGAAGCATTTTGTGGAGTGAGCATCTGGACGTATTTGTATTCCTTGATTTGTGAACTGTACCAAAATGCTGTTTAGTTGTAGTCGGCAAATTTGAGGCTGGTAACTAACTCTTTTCAATGTTTGTGGTGTACCAGACAAGCAAAAGATATAGTGAGAGCTGTTAAGAAACGACTGGGGAACAGGAATCCGCAAGTCCAGCTTTTGGCACTCACGGTCTACATCTAACTTAGCTGCGATATTTTGTCGTAGGAATTCAGTTTCTTAGGATTAGGGCGTTGTGTAAGTTATGGCTGTTCATGTTGGATTCTCAAAACATGGAGCTTATCGTTCACTTTGTTAGTATGCTGCGATTATCATGAAATTCGGATTGAATAGAGATATGGAGATCCTGTTTTCAAGTATGTTTGGAAATTGGTGTTTACGTCTGCAGCAATCCATGAGGTGATTATTGTTTCTCTTATAGATCCTGGAGACTTTGATAAAGAACTGCGGAGATTCCATTCATCAGCAAGTGGCTGAGAAAGACGTGCTTCACGAATTGGTCAAGCTTGTTAAGAAAAAAGTAAGATAGTGATTGATTATTGATGATACTTGCCAGGGTATGTGGAAAGCAACAATTTTTGTGTGCTATGTTCCGTATATTAGTTTCATACTATTTGAAATTTTCTTCGTTTCCTACAAAAGGATTTGTTTAGAGGGATGTGTAGATTTGACTTCATTGCGAGCTGAAAAAGAGAAAGTCGGAGTTTCGAGTTAATTGTGCTCAGCTGTTCTGGTTGTTGACTTTGAAATTATATGCTAACTGGTGATGTACTGGTTGGGTTTCCTTGGATGCTTTTTCAGGCAGACATGCGGGTGAGGGACAAAACTCTTGTTTTATTGGATTCGTGGCAAGAAGCTTTCGGGGGCGCAAGTGGTCGATATCCACAGTATTACATGGCATACAATGAATTGCTGGTAGGATTAAGAACTTTCATATAAGTATTCCTAAACCAGACTTATACTTATCGACGGCTTTCAACGGCATCGGAACATGCAGTTTTTAGATCGGCATTTCACCTCGTCATTTATTTATTTTTTTTCCTTTTTCGGTCTGTGTTTACCAGAAAGCAGGTGTAGAATTTCCACTGCGTTCTGGAGAAGCCGCATCGCCCATTTTCACTCCGCCTCAATCGCAGCCTCTCGCTAGTCCTCGTTCATTGTACCAGCATCAATCACGGTCATCAGGACCATCTCCCCCAAGATCCGAGGACACCGAGTTCGCAGGAATGAGGTATTGTCTTAACTTGAGAACTCTAGAATAAAACCTCGCCACGTCTGCAGCATTTTATGTTTCTACTCGTATCAATTGTAGCTAGGATGGTATGCACGTCGTTGCTGCTTGTGGACCCGTGTTATTTTCAGAGTCAAAGCCTTATTCTTTATTTTATTTTATTTTTTTCTATATGTTTATTCTTCTTTACTCACAGTCCGTTTCGAACGTTGTACACAGCTTACAAGACATTAAGAATGCGCAGAATTTGGTGGAGCTTTTACAGGATATGGTTTTGGCACTCAACCCACGAGATCGAATGGTTTGCATCTCACCTTGGAAAATTCTGTGTGTTAACATATTCTTGTATAGGAAACAAGATACTGGCCTAATTTTTTTGGATGCTATCACAAAACGTTCCCTCGTTATAATACTGTTGGGAAGGAACGAGAAGTAGTATTACTTTGAAAGTTAGCATTTGTGAGAGCTCTGAGTTGGCCGATCTCTATGTAGTCATATTAAAAAAATATATTTAGGAAACCGATGGGAGCTTTCTCTTAGACTTTTATTGGATCATATTTATTCCTGCAATTATGACCACCTTGTCTTGGTTTTGCCAATCCCATGTTTAACTGAACATTCATGCCATTTTTTTTTTTGTTGAGCACCCGTAGTTTGTCAATTTATGGACAAACTTCAGATGTAGAATGCGGTGCTGAAGTGCCCTTGTCGTTGCGCAGTCTGCCAAGGAGGAGGTTATCGTGGAGCTCGTAGATCAATGTCGACTGAATCAGCATCGGGTTATGCAACTCGTCAACATATCTTCGTATGACTTCTCCTTGCCCATATATATATATATATATATTCGTGTCTGAAAGTTATATGAGTTGTGAAGGCTGGAAATAGGTGGAATTTAGCTTAACATTGTTTGTACTGGGTTGGACGTGCAGTGATGAGGAGCTACTTTGCCAAGGTTTAGCTTTGAATGATGAGCTGCAGAGAGTGCTCGCTAGATATGATGCTTTCTTGTCGGGGGCTCCCATACCCGAAACTTCCGTTGAAAGCAAGACTCGGTCTCAGCAGACTTCGGGTGGGAATGATAACATTCCTTCTCCAAAGTAAGACAATCATTCATACCTGGTTGTGAATATCTTTGTCGTTCATGGAAAGCCTTGATTTAGACGTAATGCATATCTTGTGCCAAGTTGAATATTTTCATGTACATGTTTTGCAGCCGTATATTATTGCACAATCGCTTTGGTTTATTTTGAAATATTGCTGGTGATCTTTGCTTTAGACCTTATGCATATATTTTGTGTTTTTTATGTTAATGAAAGTTGCGTCACTCACGTATATGTAATCATTGTAGCAAGGTGCAGTCTCCAAATGCACCTCAAGAACCAGGAGTTACTTCAAGACCAAGGAATAGCGCACGTACTATTTACTCAGCCGTCACCCTCCCTCCACCTCCCTCGAGTAAAAAGTCCGTTCCACAAAATTCAAATGTTGTGAGTCCAAGGCCTGCTGATCCAACACTTGACCTTCTTAGTGGTGATCTACCACCCACAAGCCAGCCAGCCACGAGTTCCTCCGATTCTTTGGCTTTGACTGTAATAGAACAGCCTCAACAAAGGAGCCCGGTGGATCTCTTGGCTTTGCCTGCACCTGAAGGTTTTTCGAACCCATTTGAGTCTGCGCCTTTCCAGGCTACTCCACAAACAGAAGCTGTGAGCCCAGTGTACCCCTCTCAGAGCTTCCAACAAAATGCAGATACACCATTGCATCGTTCTGAGAACTCATGGTCCACAAGTACGGCTGGTAACCAGAGGCAACAGAGTCATTTATACGGTGAAGTTCCAACTCAACCAACAGTTTCAGGGCAACCATTGCAAAGTCAACCCCAATATTTATATCAACAACAGCCTGTAACCACAACTCCACCCCCATGGCAAGACGATACTCGAGCACAATATGCAGAGCAGCAGTGGCAAGCCCCCCCTCAAGCTTCCTACCCGTACACACCCCAGATGTGGAATGTAGGCCAGCAGTCAGCAATAGATGGCATGCAACAGTACCCGGTAGTAGGGTATACTGGGTACCAAATACAACCAAGACCAGGACAAGAGTCTTTTCAATCGACTTACCAAGGTTATCCAGCTTCTAATGATTTGGTGAGGTATGGCTCTGGAACAGGTCCAGGCGATAATTTTGGGAGTCAGTATCTCCACCAGAGAGGAAGTGCATATGGTCAATCTTCATCACAACAGTATAGTGGAACTTCCAAGCCTTTGAAATCGCCTGACACGTTGTTCGACGACTTGGTGGATTTGAGGAGCATGAATGCAAAATTCAAAGCAGCGAGCCTTGCGAATAAGACGTCGAATACCAGCAAGGCTAGTCCTTCATGATTTTCAGTCTGTCAATAGTCTTTTGTCGTGCTTAGAAGTGCACTAGCTTTAGTAATTCTGGAGTGGGAAGCTTTCCTCGTTTCCATAACCTCCTGTATTTTCAACCTCTTTTGTGCACTCATGTAAAAATGAGATTTTTCTGTTGTTATTTTCAGCACCGAGGTTATCATTTTTAGTGCAGTGCTTCTGTTGTTCTCATGAAGCCATGATCAGTAAATTGTACAGATAACAATATATGATGTAATCTTCTTCACTGGATACAGTTCTCGAGCTTATTGAATTATTACAGGGTGCCATTTCAGAAATGTCATGCATTTCACTAAAAAAGATTCGTGGAAGTGTATTTTTATAGATTTCATCCTCAGTTGTTGACGAGTTGTTGGAAACGTGATTGCCTATCTATGTTAAGAGAGTATTTAGGGATGCAGAGACGATATCTTTTTCATGAAATATTCTTATTTGATAGAGAATTTCTAATTTAGATATCCTAACAATGCTGCTATCTGTTGTGGTCTTTGCCGTCAGAACATGGTTTAGCAACGTGTAGGCGTCGCCTATACGATTCACGATGGGTATCTCAATAATATGTGTTATAAGAACGGGATAATGCTAGTAGACGGATGGGCAGGTATCACAAAGTCGACGGTATTGAGATTGGATCGTTACCCGCCTGTATGTTTCAGGATTTTGCAGGAATACCACGCTCTCCTCTATGGCTGAGTGGCGTTTGGTAGAACCAAACTTGACAGGTGGTGTCTGCAAACACGAGTGTACCGTGTTTGGATGAGAATATCCTTATAGGATATCACAAAAGAGAATGAAAGGCCGATAAGTCAACATAATCTAGCGCTTGCAGGGCATGTAAAAAAAACTGATTGTGCATGCACGATAGCTGCACACTTAATGCAGGATGAGTGCACCTGTATATCCAGGGGAAGCTTTCATGCATGGTATGACCATTCGCGGATGCTGCACGGCAAGACTTTACAACATTTCGGATCTAGGTCCTGAGATCGATTCGTGTGTTCAGATGCAAATCTTGGTTGGACTGCTGCAGGTCTATGCAGGTCATGTCGAAGGGCTACAACATCTATCATTTCAATGTGATTAAAAAAAACAAAGTCTAAGTACAGATGGTTGAGTCTTCCAGACGAGATGAAGATGCCTGTTTGATTCTCATTGTTGGGAGGGGGGGATACCACTTTCTGCGGGTGAGTATTATCTATTTTGAGGTTGTACTCTTGCGGATACGCCACTGTTTGTGACCTGTTATCCGAATTTTCGCATGGAAAGACTATATCTGTAAGTAATAATGCAACGTCAAACGTCTTTTACTTTTCAATTATACTATGTTGTGAGTAGATATAAACAGCAGTTATGAATGAGCACTTGTTCTAGTTTACCCAGTTATTTTAGTGAAGCTTTGAAAGATACTTCTGCAGCCTGTTGAGCTTTACAAGCTTGAACTTGCTCGATATAGCATTGCTCCATTTGGTTTGTGAAGTTTTGCAATTAACTTTCCTCAAAACAATTGTCAATAGAAGTTAAAAAAAACATTTTAGTCACCTATTTGATACGATTTTTAGGAAAACATTTACATTTCTTCACACCAATTGCAAGGGTGTTGTTAATAAGTGTTGAATTTTGTTGGATAGACACTACTACAGAAAGTGAAGAATTCATGCGTTGCATTTTTATTTTTTTTAAAGTTGACATAACTTAACATAACATTAAAAAATAGATTTATTTCATCGTTTTTTTAATGTTTACTTGTAAAATAATTAGAAATATAAATAATTTCTTTTGAGTTGATCATGTTATCTTAAAATATTCATACAATTTTTAATCAGTTGTTTTTGTTTCGGTGAGTTAATTCACCGTAAATAAAGAACATATCTTATTCCACAATACCACTAAAGTATTTTATCTTGTTTTGATTTTATTTATATAGAATTCTATTTTTGTTAATACAAACTTGTAACATTTTAATAGCCTTCAAAGAAATAAAATAAAATAAAAATCAGACAAGTCTTAAAATCTAGATGTAATAGCTACACTTATATATATATATATATATATATATCCATACATACAAACATTCATACTAGCAAAAACTTGTGTTATTGAACACAAAATAGTTGTGAAATCCACCTAACTTCTCCAAAGACACCATCCACTTTAAAGTTTCGAGACATCTGTTATTAATTAAATTAATCCTTCCCTTTGATGAAAGCAAATATATATATATATATATATATATATATACAATTATGACCAATTAGAGGCATCGTTCATTCATTCTCTTCCCTTGCTTAAACCCATTCTTGTTTACCTATTTCTCTATTTTATCATTTCAAACATAAAAACTTCAATCTATTCAATTCTTCGCACATAATTCTGCTTCAAGAAAATTAAATAATGCACTCTGAGGTTCACAGGCTACCAACTTTAATAAATTGAGAGATTACTCATACAAGCTCCTACAATTCAAGGCACGACCTTAGTGGGATTTTTCATATTAATTGAGGTGTTGAAATAGAATCAAGCATGCCAGCAGTAGAAACTCTTTTAATTAAAATCAGAATAAATAAATAAATAAGTAACTAACTAAAACTTCCCTTTGTTAATGAACCTTGGCGTGTCCCTCAAGCACGTCCGAGGGATGAATGAACATCAGATGTGCCCAAATAAACGATGAATGAAAACAGGATGAACTTTGGATGAATGAGAGTGAGATGAACGCGGGGTGAACGATGGATGGGTGTCGGATAGGTGTTAGGGACAAGACTGTGGTGGTGGTGGGGGACAAGACTGACGGTGAAGGGAGTGGGATTTTGCGGCGTGAAGCAGCGGCAGTTGTGATGGGATTGCCCCGGAGGATCGTGAAAGGGAAGCAGAAGAAGAAGAAGAAGCAGATGCAGCACAACATGGAAGCTGTTCAACGTTGACGCAGTCATTGTAGCAGCTCGGCTATGGCAGCGACAACAGCAGCAGTAGTTTCAGCAGCAGTTTTCACTCAGACTCGCCACTGTCGGACCCCATGCGCGGCGCAAATTGACACTCTGAACTGGGTCCTTTCAAGCTGGGCTGCTGCTAATTGCACTGGCACTGCGTGTGAGGTGAACGTCCGTGTTAAGCATACTACTCGGTCCAATAACTAGACTCGAAGTACTTATGTACGCTTTGTCTGCGCCTCGAGTGGCTTCCGTATGGCACTGATATGATCTGACTAGGAATTCTTGGCTTCACACGCCTCCTCCGCTCCCTGACGATCAGTTACACCCGCAGCGCCACGTATGTTGAGCTCTTTTTCCCCTTTCGATCAGGGATTTGCTGTAGCGTGCTCATAGGCTATGACGGATGCGATGGGCTCCATGATTTCTCATACGGCGACGAAGGGACACCATCTTCTGTCAAATGGATACGTCTGCTCTGTGCATCCTCCTGGTCTTTAGCGACACTGGATCGGTTTGCATCTGCCGTTGGCAGTCAGGTGTTGCAGTCACCACACAATTCTAACAGCGGTGTGTTATTCAGCGCTTCTTCGTTTCGCAGTTTCCACAAATCAAGCACGATGGTTTATCTTTCTCGAGCACTTGTGGATCAGGCAGCAATGTTGAAAGCACATTTCTATCAGGTATCATTAAAAAAATAAAAATAAAAACATTCTTCATCGAATTGCGGCATATCCACGAGCATATCCTTCCAACAGAACAATCTATAAACGACTGCTTGTACTCCCGAACTCAGCTCTTCCAGCCGAAGTTTCAAACAGTGATTTCGACATTGTTGCACGAGGTGGCCGTGTTAAACAGGACCCCAACTTTGAAGTCACGAAGGGCTTAGTCGTATCCATACATGTCTTATACTTGTTGCTGGAATAGTGTCATTCTAGGACGAGTTAAACGTGAAGTTGTATTCGGTGCTACGATAGGCTTGACTCGTAGTTCCAGGCAGCAGCTGAAAATGGGAACATTTCGATTGTCGGCCGAACATTTGGAAATCTCAAGTTATGCGTTCTAAATCAAGCTTTGCTATTGCAGGTTAAATGGACAAGACGACGACAGTGAGGAATTCGAATCCAGTGGCCAGATGATGAGAGTTTCGGCTCAAGAATGTACGGCACAACACGTTTCACATTCTCTTTGTCGGTACAGAATTATTCTGGTTTGTCTTTCAATCCTTTCTTAAAAGTTTTTTCAGTTCTTTTGTGTTCGCGATTCTCTATTGAAAAATAAATAAAAATAAAAATAACAACTCCAGTTGGTTGTGAAAGTGTGGTCGAACCAACATTCGATGACGACATGAAATCACAATTTAACGCACTCATAAAACCAGAAGCCCACTAACCTTGATGACATGATTGTGAAGCATGGGATTGTGTTTAGTTTGATCAACATCATGTAATAGGCGTACCAATAAGTATAAGTATTGTTTGTGGCTATGAAGAGAAAATTTATATATATATATATATATATATATATAATAGAATAGAATAGAATAGTGCCCTCAATCAAGTGTTCAGGAGCATTATAAACAGACAAATCGTATGCTGGTGAAAATATGGATTTTGTTATAAATTCGGTTCATATACATATACTTATTCATGATAATAAAATTTTCTTCAAAAAGATATTAACTTTTTCAAAATCACTCACTAATGTCATGGTCAAAACAAATTACTGGTTTTCACTATTATCAGATTCTTAAAGATTTAGTGTATGGATATATATATATATATATATATATATATATTGATTAAATAGGATGAATATTCTATTATCTTAATATATAAACATACAATTTTTAATATCATAGAAATTAAATGTAATGAAAATTTGCAACATTCAAATATTGGAACAAATTTCATTCTGACATCAAATTATTATTTGGCATTAGAGTATGTTACCAATTTTTTATGATATTGAATGTTTTTTAATCAAATATGTGCAAGCATTTTTAGAAAATGGTTTGTAAACAAATACTAGACCACGTGTGGCCATAATAAGAGCATTGTATCTATAAAATAAGTATTTGATAAATTCAGTACCTCTAATATTAAAATTTGATGTAAATCAACTAAGTTCTTACATGAAATTTATTTTACATTGTACATTTTTTTTTTGTGTACATTCCATTATTTATTTATTTATTATTACTTTCAAGTATTTCAAAACCTTTGAACGTTATTTTATTATTATTTGTGTTCTTTTCAGTTGATTGGTTCATATATATATATATATATATACATTGGTACACACATTTTCACGGACATTCATCCATGAACAACTTTTGATGTTGTAATAGTCAAGTTACAATTAACAAAAAATTCAATGAAAATAAAAATGAGTTTGATGCAATTTCCAGTTACATCGAAATGTTTACATTTATTGAATTTCCTTTGGAGATTATGATTATTCAGTGTATGGATATATGTACATACATGTCTGTGTATGTGTACATACATACGGAAATTCATATTTATCATGCACACCAAGTATTAAAAATATAAAAAAAATAAAGAAGAGTAAACAAAACAAACTTTCGTAACACACAAAAAACAGAAAGAGTAGGAAAGAAGAAAGATAAACAAATCATCTCAATGCAAGAAAAATACAAAGAATAATATGGAACAAAAAATCTGGATTAGAAAACACATTATAAGTTGCAATGTAAGTTTGTATAACACAACATAAAAGCACCCCTAACAAATATAAATAATAATAAAAGTGCAACAAAGATTTGTTAATTAATGCTTGACTATTCTTGTATAAATTTAATTTGATTTATTAAAAAATATAATCTTATGTATTTAGCAGAGCTTTAAAAAATTAATGTTATATTTGTATGGATTCTCAAATACTTTTTCTAGCAAACAGCATGATTACTAGACCAGGTGTGTAACAAACAAATTGTTACAAGTATTGTAACTGCCTGAAAGATTTTAATCAGATTTTAACAATTATTTGTATACAATTAACATAAGCTTCAAACATGCTCACAAAGTAACACTGCAACTTCACAACAATATAGTGTTATTTACCGATTCAAAATCAAGATGATTATTATCAATATTTAGTGAGATATATACATCCAAAATTAAATTTCAATCATACATGTTCTATGGTGTAGTCAATGTACAAAAGATTCTTTAAAGTATTGAAGACGAAATCTTATTGTCAAAGAAAACAAGCCCGCATAATGAAAATGTGTAAAAATTGCTTTTAAACAGACACTTATTCAATGGTGTTATTATTTTAAAAATTGAAACCAATTATGTTGTCAATTCAAAGAACACATAAAAATTGTAAAGGAGATATCAGCGTTTCCTTTCAACCAAAAAATATTATCTTGAGATGAATGAATAAATTAACAAAGACTTTTTTTTTTTTTTTTTTTTTTTTTAATACTAAATTTGCATCCAATTAAAATAAATAAAAGAAAACTAAAACAATTTGTTTATATAAAAAAATTGTAAAATCGATTTTACAATTAAATATCATGTGTTCTTGGTTGAAATTATAGACATGCAAATATACCCACAAAAAAAAACATTCTTTCTAAATTGGGTTTTTATGCTTAGTTCTTGCTAAAAGTAGAGGTTGAGGAATAAGAATAAAAAATGGTTTCTTTTTGTCTTTTTTTTTAATGGTTGTGTAATAAATTTTCATGTGTAAATTTTCATGTGTAATTTTTTAATGGTTGTGTAATATCATGTGTTCTTGGTTGAAATTATAGACATGCAAATTTAAGAGTAATAAATATTATAGTGAAAGGATGATGTGGATGAAGAGTGGCTAGTCTATACATTCATCCATACAAAGGAAAGAGGGGAGGGGACATAATTGGGGTCGTCTATTCATCCATCCATCCAATTGGGACACATGGCCCCCATTCCCATTCTCCTCCTCCACAAAGAGTGCAGCGTATCAAACCCTAATTCTCCCAGTATGGCATGAGAATACACGTGGATCCCAAGTGGGGCCTTCCTTCGCCTTATTATAGTAAGAAATTATATGGTAACCGGATAAACGAAGCGTGAAGACCGGGAAGATTGATGAATCATCCACTTAATAATGGATGTCGTCCAGGCGTCAGGGGATGTAGGGGGAACCACTATGGGGAACGCCGGGATCGCGCGTTCCCCGTTGGGATCATCGAGATTCGGCTTTGAAGCAGCTCTTTGGCTTTGGCCTTTGGTGGGGGTTTCGCTTCCCTTGGCTTGGCTTTGCTTTGTCTCGTGTTGCTTTGTGTTGCTTTGCTTGTTTTGCTGCCCTTAAGCGCCCTTCATTATCGCCGTATCAGTATCGTCCCGCTGCGTCGGGAGTGTGGGTTCTATTCTCGCAATCCTCCACTGTCGGCGTGCCCAAGCTAGTGTCTCAACTTTCTGTGATGTGTGTGGAACTGTAGAGAGGTTTTTCGTGGCCGAAACGACAGGGAGAGAGAGAGAGCGAGAGAGAGTGACTGTGGAGGTGATTTGAGTCGGTTTGAAGTGCGTTGTGGAAGGAGAGGGAGAAGCGAAAGAAGGGGAGGGAGCGAGGGGACTTGGGGGACTTTGTTTTGGGAATGATTGTGAAGACCAAGGCTGGCACGGATGCACACGAGTTCGCTTTGCACGGGGTTGTTGTCGTCCCTCACGTGGTGTTTGCAGCTAGGATGTCGGGAGGGGTCGATGTGTTGTGGAATGTTCCGCTCCTTGAAATTTGAGTGACCCTTACCGTCTGCCAGTGAGGCCGCTTGCAAACACCCGTATGGGACGACGAAGCTCTGGTGTTGCTCAACATCACTAGGTTTCTGGACGACGCTCTGTGCTCTCTCTCTTCAGGTTACTGGTTGCTCGGAAGGTCGCAGGACTGCTCATAGTCGCGGTGATCCCGTTGTTGTGTTGGATTCAGCCTTTTTTTCTGCGCGTTGGGGCGCAGTAGAAAGGAGGAGGGGTCGGCTCTATATCTTGGCGGCGTGCTTGACGCAATTGGTGAAGAGGGTGAGAGCATTTCTACAACCACGGGAATTTTTTGAGATTCTCTGGATTTTCTGAGTTTCCTAAGAATTTCATGCCCATTTAGTAAAAATCAACACTCTCGCCAAAATCCTTTGTCACAAGGGAGAGTTAGGAGGACTAGTCTTTGAGGCCATGTCAGGATTCTCAAGCTGATTGGTTTGAGTGTTCTCGTACCAGACTGCTCTCATCCATAAAGGATTCTTTCCTCAATCTTTTCGGTTTTACTTCTTCCTTTCTGCATTTTTCGCTACTAGTGACTCTTGCTCTCTCCCGTGAAAGGTTTCATTATGTGTGAATTAGAATGGAGTGCGGAGGAGCATGTCACATTTATGTCTTTGCATGTCATTTGAGGTGCCTCTACATTCCAGATTTCCTCGGATTGGTTCGTTCTTCTCCCTACGGTTGAGTCATAATTCGCTTGAATTTCTCTGTTCCCCAGACTCCTCTCCCAAGCTTCGCATCCGAAGGCTTCCTGAAACCACAGTGCGTATATTGAGCTGGAACAATTGTTGTCCTCGGTTTCATCCTTGAGATTTTTTGCATCTAAAACAATTGCAGGAGGAGACGGTCAGCTTGCTAGCTTACAATGCAAGAGTCCAGTTTAGACAAATCTATGACTCTGTTAAGCTCTACTACCAACCAACCTGGCCCTGATTTGGCGCTACATATCTGCCCACCAAACAGCAGCAGCGAAGTACGACCAAAAGCCTCCTCACCGCAATGTGTAAGCCAAGACTTGCCCGAGCATGTTCATGGCTTTGATCTCTGGAAGCAGCCTCCGAAATCTACGACCTCCTGCACTGATAGTGAGAGCAATGTCTCTAGCCCTGTGAATGAGCAATCTTCTTATGCCGCCAATGGCATCGACAACTTGGGAGCATCCACTGTTCTGTGTCTGGCGAACCCTCAACCCTCTGATCCACCGTATTCAAAACAAGCTCCGGAGGGTATGGCCTTTGGAGGCAGAGATGAAGTCCAAGAAAATTTACTAGAAAGTCGGTATCTTCGCAATGAACTTGCTCATCCTTTTTTGCTGGACATGGATAGCAGATCGGATGTGAAACTCATTAGCCCGGAATCAGACAGGACATCATCGCCATCTGAACGGGTTCGTCAAGACTTTCGGAGGATGTACACGGGCGAGATCCAAGAAGATTTTTCGCGGAGGCTGGCTGAGAATAATTCGGATAACTTTCACTTCCAGCCACGTGTGTTTCCACCAGCTCCTCCTTATTCTGCCATTCATGCGCTTTCACTGGGTAGGTTGAGCGAGCCTGATGCACAAACCGACGCCTTGTTCAGAACAGACCTTTTAAAATTGGGAAATTATCACATGGGTGAACGGGAGCCTTGGGTGAGCCATTCGAATAACTATGGCTTCGAGGATGATGTTTCTCGTCAGGTTGGGAAGGGTCTGTATACGTCGACGTTTCCTGGGAAATTTCCAACTTTTTTCAGAAGTTGCGGGGCAAGCTATAATGTAAGACAGGAGGATATGTATGCGAATTTTGCTTTTCGTCCTCGCTTTCCGCCAAAGTCGCCCTGTAAGCGTTCGATACGAGCTCCGAGGATGAGGTGGACTGTTGCACTGCATGATCAGTTTGTTCAAGCTGTGGAGCTTCTTGGTGGTCATGAAAGTAAGCGCAAATGGTTTTGTTTCAAATCATATGTTTGTGGACATGTTTCCTAACTATCCTGCAGCTAGTCGAAGCATTAACATCATTAAAATCCCCCCCAAGCTTGCGATTTTATGAAGCTCAGACCTTATTGTAATTTATTTTCTGATTTTACATAGGGGCAACACCAAAATCTGTTCTGGAACTTATGAGGCGGAAGGACCTTACTTTGGCTCATGTGAAGAGTCATTTGCAGGTGGAAATACGATTCTCACGTATTCGTTGCTTTTTTATACATTTGTGATGTTTTTTTTATTGGCTCTTTGCTGTGTTTAGATGCTTACCTGGAATGCATTTGTTGTTACTTGGTCATTTTCAGATGTATCGGACTGTGAAGACAACAGATAAATCAGGCTCCTCTCCAGGTTGAATTTCAATTTCTTCAGGAGTTGCACTTCACTATATCATTTCAATTGTGCATACCAAGTAGGAGCTGTTACAATTGGACACCATTTTTTTTTCCAATTCTCTGTCTACTGTTCCGTTGCTGTAGGGCCGGGAGACCTGGAGCTCTCTCCAACTTCTGAGGCAAGACCCCCGACGGAGTCACTGCTTGTGAGCGATGGGATATCTAGATCAAGAAAGAGCATTCACTCGTCGAATTCTGGCGTGCACAACTTGGAATTGGGTAACTACCACAATTTGGATGACCGTCAAGACACGACTGTGCCAAAACATAACAAAGTATGGCTTCCAGAATTTCCTTCAAATTACAACCCAACCCAAAGAGGTGATTTGCCCAGGTCTCAATTATCTGATAGCTGAAATTCTTCTTGGTTTGAGCTTGTTATTGCTGTCGCAACTGGATACATTAGTCAACACGTTCAAGATGATGCTTCTGCTTTGCTGTAACGTACACCTCTATAAGAGAATACTATTGACTCTCGCTCTCTCTCTCTTTGTGTCTGTATGTGTCTATATATATATATATATATATATATATATATATATATACACACAATAATGTTGAACCGGTTCTCGTAAATGAATGCTATTTCAATTATTTGCCACTTCTGTGAATGTTTATTAATTATACGTTGTTTGTGACCTTTGATTTCCAACAGGGTGCTGGAAGTTTGGGACTCTCAGCTGCTAATGAGGAGACGAAAATAAACATTGTCAGCTAGGAATCATGCTTTCTGAGAGGTAGCTGTTTTCATGCGTGTCGTATACCATGTATCGGATATATAGTCCATTGTATGGTTTTGGTTAAGTATGTTCGGAGTGAAGCTCAACTTATCTGGTCGTTCAGGTTTAGTAGGTCTAACAAGTGAAGGATCTAGATCCATTAAGTTTGCTTAAGGTTCGTGTATACATGTGACAAATGGTCCAATGTTAAGTGAAGTAATGTTAAATGAAGTGAAGTGAAATGGTTTATAACTTCGACCCTGCTGACTTTCAAGCTTGGTCTTATGTAATATAAGAGTCACTAAAAGATATGAATGCAATATGCGCAGTGTTGTGCCCCTTGGTTGTTTTCAAGAAAAAACATGACAAGTCCGGTTAATTTACTGGTGATTTTTTTGTTTCTGGTTTGTTGTGATTCGTCTTTTTTGAGAATGAAACTGGTCCAGAAGATGACATGGGTGTAAATTATCCAAATTATGGGCCTCCTGTCAGCTGTGCTCGCAATTAGCGTTCCCTGCAATTCAGCGTAGATCTATGTGTTAAAATGTTTATTTGGAAGACCACTACTGGCCTCATGTTTCTGCATATTTTTGGCCTGCTTTCATTATGTTTTTATGACATTCTTCTGGCACATTATTTGAAGGCCACTTTTCTAATAATCAGGTGCACAGTACTTGTTCTCTTTCCTACATTCTTCCTTCTTTTCTTATATTCCTTATTTCTTAAACTCTTGTGGGAGGGCTAAAGGCGGCGGAAAGAATTTTGTGAGTATCCACATTTGGTGACGTTATAAAATAGGCGCTCAATAATGAGCCGCATTGTGACTACTACGTGGACACCAGAGGGGAACTTACTCGCTTTTCTGGACCAACGCAATCATGTTCCTGATACACTATTTGGAACCCCAAAATTCCAGTGAGATTGCTCCTGCATGCACCGGGGTACAACAATTCTGCCAGAAATATCCAGAAGCAATCACTGGAAGCAATAAAGACCTTATGCACCTCAGATGTGCCGATTCTCGCAAAAGCGATGAGCATGCACGCAATGAACCTTGAGGAAAGCACTTCCAGAGCTTCGTATAGCACGTGGCCCGCCTCATCCTCTAGTTTTCCAACCCCAGTTTCACCGGAATTGATAGGATTCCGGAGCAAAACCCACACCTGTGCAATTGGCTCCTTAAATACTCTCCCTGAAAAAGTACTACCTGATTGCCTTGTTGCACAGACAAGCAGCCACGAGCCTTGACCATGAGGGAAAATCCTATGCAAATATCAAAGCCATCGCAGGTTGTGTCCTTTCACTCTTGCTTGGAAGCGGACTTGCGGCACCCACTTGTCCCCGGACAGACCTGATCACACGCAGGTTGCACTGACCACATGCTTTCAAAGAACCATCTCTTCATAAATAAATAAATAAATACATATATTTTGGCACAGACAAAAATGGATTTCACTGCAGTAAGTAACCAAGTACAAGGCCAGGTCAAGATAGAGTTAAGAAACCCTGCCTAACTTAGGATTGAAGTAGTGACTCGACGTTCAATTATGCTACAACCTAGCTAGATGGGATTCTATGGTATTAGGAGCTAATTCTATTATATTGCCATTCTTTATCAGATCAAATATAGAGGATATTGTTGTTTTCCCATGTATTGTCAAAACTTTTGAATCAAAAATTAGCAATTTTTATATCATCTGGCAACATTTGGGTGAGTTTGTTTCATTTGATGTGCCCGCAGTCCTAAAGACCATATCATATTTTGGCTGTGATGCGTTCTATTGGTTAATATTTTTTGTTAAATGCCTTAGTATTGCACTCCAACCACAACTTCCAAAGAGTAATACCTTGAAGTAGTGACCAGATTACCTTAACTTTGCAAAATTGCTTTGGTGAGAGTTAAATAAAGATGCAATGATGCCATTGTACGATGAACTGACCACATGTTTTCAAATGCTGGATGAAGAAGAGCATCTCTTCTTATTCATAAGCAAGGAGATATATTGTAGATGCATATTAGTAGTAGTGAAAATTCATCTAATAGTTAGAATTTGGACTTAATCAATTTTGATTCAAAAGAAAAAAAAAAAAAAAAACATTTGTGTACCAAAAAAACAGAAAGAAGTAATATTACAAAAGGTAATAAAAACTAGAGTCGAGACCTTTATTAAATACTATTTAGAGATCATAAGTCACACATAACTTTCTATTCAAATATTCAATATGAATGATCATTTATGATATTAATTAGATGTTGTTGTAGCAAAGCATATTGCAAATAGATCACTTGAAATAATATTCTTTTAGAGTATTTTTTATTAAGCAAATCATAGAATTTATACCTTGTATAAAAAACTTGGATGTTTTTGATACATTTATACAAATAAAATAAATGAATAAATAAATAGACATCATTTAAACAAAGATTTTTTAAATTTACATTTAATAAATTATTTAATAATCATGTCATGTTATAGTTAAAGTTATGTTCTAATTTATATCTTTTGTTGTCAGCTTAAGTTTAAGTGTTTAAAGGAGATGCTTCTTTAAACATTGGTGCTTCTTTTTGAACTTAAATTTAACTAAAAATAATAATTATTTAAATAAAATAATATTTATAATATTATATTTTATTAAAAATAATATTCCTATAAATTATTACTGTAATATATCTAAAATATGAATCTAAATAAAAACTAAAAAACAACATACTTACATATCACTAAAGAAAGAAAAAAGTATAGAAAGAAGAAGTAATTATCTTTGAAATAAATTTTAATTATATATATATATATATATATATATATATAGCATATTATACTTTATCTAACTACCTTGTTCTAGATAACTATATATCTATATATATATATATATATATATATATATATAGATAATAGTTTTAAAGATTAGAGATAAGATTTTTTACAATAAAAAAGAACTAAAATGACTATTGTCTAATATACAAAGATTGGAGATTCTTGAATCAAGATTAGAACAAAAGAAATGACAAGAATGGTCCTATTCTTGTCTTCATATGTATTAGCTACAAAGCAGGTCTTATAGAAGTTTTTTAGGAATTAGAAGGCTTATGGCCTAAGTGTCAAGTTGTAGGCTGCTTTTAATGCAACTTTTTAAAAATAGAAAACTTGTGAGATAAGTTTAAATAGAAATATGGCATATCTATTAAAGTCTAAATATCTAAACCATGTCTACAAAACTTCTTCAAAGCTTCTTATAGAAAATTTTATATTTTGTATATATTTGCCTCTATTTCTATTACTTCAATGAATTTCTATTTCCTTAAATATTACGGATATCATAACATAGTATGATAATTAAAGATAAATTTATACTAAATATTAATACAAATGTCTTATTTTATTTTAGCCAAATATCTATTCATATGCATACATGTTGTAAAAAAATTATTTTTTTAATTAAAAAACTTTTTAAAATTAATAAAATCAAATACACCACTTTGGACGTAATCCTAAAATTCTGATCTTCTTATCATCAAGGTCATTTAGCGGGTCCTTAGTTCCATTTGAGGATCGCTGCAAAATCAAAACCTCCAATTTGAGTGATTATTAATTGCAGAACTAAAGGAATTAGAATATCAACCCTCTACTTTAAAAAAAGTACACTTCCATTACTATATTGCATAATAATTTAACTATGTTAAAAGAAATTTAATGCGTGAGAGCAGAGAGTAATAATCATATTCCTTATGATTGATTTGGTACCTTTACCTTTGACTTCTTTGTCTCTTCAGTCCTCTTCTTTGCTTGAGAAATTTGACAAACTAGTTACTTGTTTAATGTCAATCCCAGACATGCATAACATAGAACAATCCAAGTGCAGTACTTCTAACTACTTACATATAACTTGAATCAGGTTATAATGGAGGGCATGCTATTTACCACATTCTAAGCTACATCATCTAACTCTGAATCCAATTAGAAGCCTTCTTTGATAAAATAGGCAACTCCAGCATTTGAATGTTTTTGGCGCTGTTTTGAAAGTCTCATGGCAAATAACTCAAAGCCCAATGAAAGATGGTCATTAAAATATCCATTCTAAAGGCCGTAAAAAACATATTGTGAAGCATGTCTAAGTCACAATGCTCAAATTCAAACTACTTTCTTACATACTTGAATCCATTCAACTTCAACTCGTTAACAAGGTTAGGGATTGGATGTCTCTTCTTTTGATACGTGAAATTCACAAAAATATTTGCATCTCTGGTTATTGCCTTAATATCATCTAGAAGCAAGTAATTTCAAAAAATGCATAAAAAAGGAATAAAAAAATGGAGCAAAAATGCACTGCCGCTCAAAACTGCACTATACCCATAGTGCAATGCCACTTAATAGACTACTAGAATAAAAATCTCACCTTTCTTCTAGAGTTGTTGATTGGAGATGTTTGCTTCATAATCCATTAACATGTGAATTTCTCTTCTGTGATAGAAAAGGCCTCTTTTCCTCTTAAAACAAGCATTGCATGAGTTGATCTTATACCACCAAAGCTTAGTATCATCTCAATCTCAATTGATATCACTCTCTTCATGATTTTCATAAAGAGTAGCCATGGTTATAGCTACATTGAAAGCATCCACAAAAGGGAAAATAACACACGCACACATTTGCCACAAACATTCCCTGATTGCAAAAGAACTTGAAGTTATAAGCCATGTGGGCAGCAATCGTAGCCTTTAGAGTGCTTTGTTGCTGTTCTCAACATATGAAGGCCATAGCCCTTCTTCATTGTCCCCTTTGCCATCCATTCATTGAAATACTAAACAAATCTAAGTTCACATTTGCAAATAGTCTTGCTATCTTCTTACTTTTTAGTCCTCTTTACATCTTCATTAGCTTCTGTAGGATGGAATTGTACAATGCTTTCATACATTACTATCATTGAATCAGATTTAAAAAGAAGAATGTTAAGTAGACCCAAATTTTTACTAAATAAATCCAAGTTTTTACTAAATTGACCCACTCATTCTAACCATCATGAAAAAAATAATGACTTCTAAGTACATTTCTTCACTATTGGATTTGCAATCAATAAAAATCAACCACATTCACTGTAATTATTAGATTCTTCATCAAGGATGGATCTATTTAGTAAAAAAATGGATTTATTTAACATTCTTTATAAAAAATTCCAACTTCTTTTTTTCTTTTACATTTCTATGGTCATAAGGAAAGTTTAGCAAATAGCCATGGAATTCTTTAACAAATCCACATCCATTATATTTTTCACAAAGCTTTTTGAAACAATGTGGATTTTCAAAAATGAAATTAGCATACAAATTGA